TATAGCACTATGTCTGACATGAACTATGCTGACATTTCAAGGCAAGCCCAAAAAGACAGACATAGTGCATGTGGATTTTAGTCGCCTCTTACGACAGGCATGCCTTAMCACGGGTATATTCGGKTTCCCCCCCAACCTGGAGGGGTCCCCCCTACCCGCAGGGGGAGAACTCGCGGGACAGTCAAAAGGGAGTCTTCACCTCACATTCATACATTCAGCTTCTGTAGATGTCGTCGGGTACGATTCCCTGCCTCAGTTTGAGGACGCCAAGTGGCCAATGGCCTGTTAAAAGTCCTACTAGCGAGAGGCCAGCCTTATTGAGGGCAAACACTAGATCAAAAGGCTTTTTCGACAGCGTATGTATCAATGTTGGCCCAGCGCTGGCCAAGCTTTAGCGAAGTCTGGCTATTTAATAATAGAACACAAGAGGATGCGGGAACACCGACTCTCTCTAACGATATCGGCTATGTGTAGGATGGGTTTCCTTGCCAGCTCATCAGTTTTCTCCGATTCAGCTATGGCCTGGCACTCAGCAATCTGTGGAAAAAGGTTTAAGGCCCTGGATTCAGCTTACATCAGCAGGGATTACAGCACCTCACTAGCGCCCGGCTAACTCCTAGAGCTATTCAGGCTGCTGGGGCTCTGGGAGGTCATGTGATATAGGAGAGGGCACAATAGACCCTTGGTTGCGGTGCATTACCTCAAATATTCTATTCTATTCTTCTATTCTATGGCCTGGCACTCATATCAGTCGTATCACAAACATACTCAATTCYCTTCATAGCGAGRTTAGTAATGGCTGAATCTCGGCTTGGAAGATACTGCAATACTCAGAAAGTCTGAAGCAGCAGTTGATAGGTAGTTGCTGACAGTAAATCCTTTCAACAACGTTCCCCCAAGCTTTGACCCATTCGTGAAGAAACTCACTGGCTCTCTCCTCCAACGGCTTCCTCCCACCCACAGCTCCCTCGTCGGTATATTGGCAGAGAAGGAGCCGCAGGGTTCGGTTTGCCGACTTCATGATCCAAGCGATCCGGTATGAATTCAAAGCGTGTTCAGATACGTGTTGATACGTGTTTTCTTAAGGATATACCTAAATCACCATACATGTTAATGAGTGCGGCCCTTTGAACGCTCACAAGTTTCTTTTCACGTGTAGTCTTTTCTAGAGCCCTCCACCACATAAGGACTCCATAGAACATATTTGTGCTCTAACTAATTAAGATAATGTTTGACTTTTAAGTTCGATGTCTTGAAGTTCTGCTCCTTCATTCCTTCATAGACATGGTACAATGTTTCTATTAGTAACGTAAAACTCGTCATCGTATAAATTATTTGCGAAAGGAAACTACATTGAGTTTTTGTAAAATCATATGTTAATGATGCGATCTAGTAGTAAAAGAGAATAACTCGATTGTTTTCATTTAATCATAAATTTCATTCATTTGGTGTTCCAAATATTCGAACACTCGAGAGAGACAAAAAAAAAAAAAAAAAAAACCGGAGGTTTAGCGCTAATATTCAAACAAAATCGGTTAGACGGTTATCCTACTAACAAAGAGCCTTTTACCGTCTTGGACGTTAAGTACTATTGGCATGACAACGATTTCAATTGAGCGCATTTCAACATTTTGCTTCATATATGTATGTACATACATAGATGCTGAAATGCAGGCATTATTAACTTCCGTCACACTTTACATAAGATAAACTCACACTAGTTTAGCCGATTTTTTTATTTGCTCTAATGAATATTTTCTGATGGCGTGCAAAACACGCATTTTCCTTTTCAGTCGCAATTTTTGTTTGTAGATAAACAGGAAAATCAGCTGGAAAATGCGGTCAACCGTGGCGAAAGAGGTGATCCAGCTGCAACTGGAGGTGCCCGGCGAGCCAAAGCTGCTCTTGCTGCAGGCACTTTGAAGCGGCCAACAGACAAGGCTCAAGCGTCTGCGGAAAATGTTTAATAAAAAAACTGAATTTGTTTATTTTTCACAAGCAGASACACCAGAAATACAACTACGTAGTAAGTTCCAAATGCACATTGCACTGTCCAGTCATGCTGGTTCTAACATTTTCTAAATAAAGGCAACAATATTTGGATAGTCGCGTACTACGTGCTGGCCCGTTTGCCAAGTTCAAGCGTTTGGTCACCTGAAGGCTGCGGCTACTGGCAGTTTCTATGCATGTGGTGAGTGGTGAGCTGGRCACTGGCGGTTGGATGTCAACCACAAGTTTGTGGCTGCGATTTGCGGTCAGTAAACATAAATGCGACAAGCTGTACTTAACCTGCATGCAMGCGCACCATAAATGGCTGATTTCTAACGGTAAGGAGAGCCACTTTCATCCGCTTACTGCGGGAGCTGTTGCTGTCTATTTTTCTAAGCAAAAATATGGAATTGATAAGCAGGCATAAATAGATCTACRTATATATTATATGAAATTCTTGTCACAAGCGCCAGGAAATTGTTGAGCTACTTTGCTGAGATTGGAATCAATACTTAGACTAAATAGATATTAACGCTGTTCAATTCTTTGAATAACAATTTTTTAATTCTTTTCAAACGATGGATTTCAGTTAGWTAATAAAGCTCACTCCGTTAGCCTCTCTTGGATTTGTTGCAACGTAAGTAAGTTTTGTAGACAAAWAAGTTTTGAAAAAGGAATAGGTAATAAATAAAATGGGAGAATATATGAGAATGATTCGAAAATTACGGCAGATAAAAGAAAAGTACGTTTCATCGCTGTAAATTGTGGACGCTTTTTCATTCACAGCTTAGGTTCTTTCTGTAATTCCAACAAATGCAACACCTAAAAAATTTATTTTTGCTTTCCTGTGAAAATGTCTATATCAAATTTAAATTTTTTCATGTAATCACATTTTATCTGGCAATAACCATTGTTTTCGAAGTCTCTTAAGTTTCTTTCGATTACTATCTGCTAAGCTTCCAAAAAGTCTTCACTTCTGTTATTTTTTTKTAATAATTTAATATCCGTAGAGCGAGAATATATCACAGACACGCCAGCTTAAAGTAAATGGAAAGCAAATTCATGAACGAGTTGCCTCGGATAACATCGCCTTACAGCTCTTTTTCGAAACAAATACACATTTTTTTAAAAGATACTTCAAAATTGAACATATTGAATGTAAGAAACTAAACAAAAATCATGTTGAACGAGCATTGTTTGTGTACATCCGTTTTCCGGTGCTACCAAATCTGGAAAAAATGCTATTTGAGAGGCACTGTAGTAGCATACAATGTGGTGTGCAGCGCCACCTAACTTTGAAGTTTACGTAAGCGGTTTTGGTAAAACGGGAAATAGTGGAAGAAAACTTTTTTTGGAAATAGGCACTGGGCACTTTTAGGTGCATTCTTATGTTACAGTGTGAAAATGCGCCAAATCGGACTGCAGCCACGCCTACTATGGCCAAATAGAACTCCTTATTGACGGCCTGTCCCACCGAAACAAATTCATGACGCACCTAATTGCGAATACCGAAAAAGGAATGAGTATCACCATGATTTTTGAGCGGGTTTGGCTTCTTTTTTTTTCGGCTCGTTTTGTTCCCTCCATTTCGATGATTGTTGACTTATTTGCGTATCAAACTCATAAACKTATGTATCATTGGCAGTTGTAATGCTCACCATGAGCTTTTGGACATGTTCAACTTTTTCGGRACGCGTCGAGCAAGAACGTGTTTYATACCCACCAAARTCCTTCGAACGGACTAGCGAGAGATGTYGAGCYTTCCACCCATMTCTCTAACACTTGCCAGRCGATTTTCAGTTTAAGATGTTCAAGCTCGTCCAGAACGATTCATGTCTGCAACGATCTCTCGACCGTCTTTGAAGGCTTTGTAATACTCGTAGGCTCGTGTTTTTRATAAAATTGGCTGCAAGCCTTTTCCAACATTCGGAACGATTCCACACACGAAATTTGGTTGGAAATACAAAATTTTAGATAGATTCTKGGTAAATGATCAATATTATGTATTTCAAAAGCAGCAAGTGAACATATTAATAACTATTTAGTAATAAAATAACTACTCAAACTTTACGCATTATATAAAACTCATCCAAAAAATATAACTTGCGAACAACTCCTCTATTTCCCTGGCACAAAAGGCTTTTCTAGGTGAAGAACCCAAACTGCACAATGATGACTATGAAATTCACTGAATAAGTAACCAAAAATAGCCAAAATTCATTGTTCAGCTCAAACATGCCGAGGATGTAAAACCTAATCGGTTGCGGCCAYAATACATCTCTGTGAGTTAGTTCGAAACGGCAATGCTGAAAGAGAGTTTTTAGCACTAAAACAGAGACACTTGCACTTTAAACATCTTATATTTACCGCCAACATCGGCTCCGCGAAGTCCAAATCGCGATCGAGGAAGAGGTCAGTGASTTTCTCATGCAACACGCAACAAAAGTAGACGACGTGTATGAGCAGGTACAGCTCAACGCTTATCTTAGYGCAGTAGAAGACAAAGGCGAACCACCAAGCTTTCGTTGTGAYGTAATAGTGAAGCTGTGCATACAAATTGGCCAATACGTTGATGAATTCGCCGACAACAAGCAGAAAGAGTGGCAATTGAAAAACGTCTTTCAGCTGAAGGGTGAGCTTGTACAAAACCTTTTGCAGCCAAACCAAATCCTCATAGGTTGACAGCTCGGCACTTGAGTCCTCTGAGAAGCGCTCCAAGCATTCCGTCAGCTGAGTATAGCAAGCGATGAACAACAACACGCAGCACATAATCACCAACTGCAGYGTGGCACGGCACTGYTGCAGGTACAATGACAACAGGTTGACCGCAATTTGCCAAGGTGCGATTTTGAAAGCCAGTTTGGCGAGAAAGACGAGCTGCGTCAACATATCGTACAGCGTTAGTCCCAGCTGCAGCCACAACAATAGCAGAACMCGCGCGGTTATGAAGTTTCGTCCATGTRTGGCGCGTACGCGTTGAACGGTGTSCTGCAGCTGATTCAGGAATACACATAAGGCTCGGCGCTGGCAGATCTGCGACAGCATGCTGATTAGGACAATGCTGATGTCGCTGACTTGAGAGGTCATGGCGATTAGAAGGAAAATGGCGTCAAATTGCACGCTCACCCGCTCGTACGTTGAGGCGAYGATGCGCAGCAAGAATGGCGAGGCGCCACACAAGAGCAGCAGCACGAGCAGCGCGAAGCAAGTCAATATGGCGTGMGTTCGATATGCGCCGCGAGACTTGCAACGAATAAGCGGCACCAAGAGCATCACTTGGGCGGTGAGCAGCACGGCGCGAAGACTGAAGAAGAAAGCGACGCTGCAGAGGCGACGACAGCGTTGAGCCCAATTGGACATTGCAAGGTGTAGTGGGACGATTCACGACAACGACAACAACAAAAACGGTAAGCTTCAGCGAATGGTGTTTATTGAGCGTTGAGTGTTGAGGCAAAACTGAAGCAAAGCAAAGTCCTGTCGTGCTCTTGGACCCAATGTAAATTTTACCACTATTTTTAGGAGCGAGTATGTATTTGTGTGCTGTGGGATATAGGCGGTGCTCCGTTGCGTGCTTTATTGCGGTATTATTTAATAACTCAATTCGTTTCATTGGCTTGCAGTGAAATTSCAATGTGAAAATGACTCACAATTTACCGTTGCTTTATCGGTCAACAGCTTGCCCAGTGGGAACTGGCTCTGCAGGGACCTTGGATCCGGTGACTGTTGTAGCCAGTGCTAAAACCGTTTGTAGAAGTAGTCTGTTCGTCGTCGCTTAATCGTCGAAACATTATRTATATTTATAATTATAAAACAATAATAACAACACTGATTCGCACATAAATTCATTCTTTATTATACAAAATGTCGCTCTTATTTAAATGCCCATCCTTTGTTGATTCAAAGCTGTTTACCTTCCATATGAAGTGGGGCAAAAAATACTGCCGGCCAAACAGTCGCACGCTTGTATGATATCAGAATTTGCGCATTTATACATCTTGACTCTCGTCGACTTATGTATATGGTGGGTCTAGTCCAAAAAAGTTGGAATATCAAAACMTGATATCCTGATATATCCTGATCTGGTATTCCATGTCTTCATCGCGTTGATTTCGGCTCAAAACTTGACCTTGAACTCATAAATGTTCAGACAATTCCTSTCGAAAAACTACTTTTCAAATAATACCACCAAAAAAAAAAAAAACAACATCTTCATGTATTTTAAAACACCCATGTACATATATCCACAATAGTCTTCAAAATAATATCCTTTCAACGCTTTATGCAATTTTTCCTAGACTGCTTTAAACCTCAGTTGGGTTGGCATTCACTACYTTCAGTGAGTGACCTTTTATGACTTCACGCAACATTCCTCGAAAGGATCTTTCAGTTTCAAACGAAGAAAAAAGTCGAATGGTATTTGAGCAATAACGCTCGTCTCGTGTTTGGGCAAAAAGTCAGTCGAAAATATAATAATTTGCCRTCACATATTAGCTTGATGAAAAATTTCAGAATTTCCTGTACACAAATTCGAACATTTACGAGCAATTGTTTCAAGTAGAAGTCATTAGCCACGTAGTATTTCTTATCGACAGTTTGACGCGTTATAACGGGTTCACGTTGCAACACAACACGGTAAGCAAAGAAAGCGAYAGCGTYACCTTCRTTTTTGAACGGCTTTGAGGTGATTTTTATTTGGAACGACAATTAAATAATATCTTCTTATGCTGAATGAGTCAATCTATGAAAATAATAAAAAAATCGGTTGTAGCAATAATAACTGTTTATTGACCATATATTTTCGTTGTGCAATAGAAAATAATGGCAATACAAATGTTAGTAAAATCATGCAATATTCAAATAAATTAAATTTAAATARCAACAACTACTTGTTACCGTTATTTCTTTCATTACCTTAAGCAAATACAAAATGTCTTTTAATAAGTTTTTGCGATYGTCAAAGCCTAAACACTCCAATTTGTTCTTTTATTCTTTGTTTATGGTGATTTTTTKCTGATAAGGCAATCAAGGCGATTAGCAATTGAATACAACAGCAATAACAACCTACAAATTATGTACTTATATGCGTTTGTCTGTGTATGCGAATACACACATACTGAAATGCCAATGGAAAGATATGATAAAGAAGCGATTCGTTTTTCTAGTTAAATAGAAATTGTTGTCATAAATATACATATGCACAAGTGCGCGAATTTCAAATTGTGAACATTTGTGTGCCAAGCAGAGTGTGTGTGTGTTGTACCATTTCGATGACTCATTTGCCGGTGTGGCTCTTTACTCTGAGGTAGAAGGTTTTGGTGAGTGTCGAGAGAAAGTTCGGCATCTCCTTCATCTGGTTTAACACATCCACTTTGGCCAAGGACTGATACTCGTAGGCCACCTTGCGATTGACAGCGGTCAGCAGTCGCAAAAGATCGGAGCCCTGGTCGTAGGCTTCCGGTTTTCTTGCAGCCGCAATGAAAACATCGCACAGACTTTGAATGAACCACGAGCCATTTTCCACATTGCGGAATGAGTAGTACTCTATAAAAGTTATACACATATACACACATAAGTGGTTTTCTAAAGGAGGTCATAGTGTGAGCGACTTACTCTCGAAGGTSGAATACATCACTAGCATATCTGCGGTATTCGGTATGGCGTAGGTTATCACAGGAGGGATTTCCTCGGCCTGACTGGGTCCGCCAATTTGACGCGTCATCACAGAGAATTCGCTGAAGACTACCGGTTTGTCCAATCGTTCGCCGCGGCAAGCCTGCAAAAATTTGTATTAAGAGATTAATAACRGTAATAAGTAAAGTTTTTTTGCGTACTTTACCTGTAGAAAGAAGATTTTAGGCTTATTTATTAAGCTTTTRCAATTGTCGCCTAAAAATGGTTGCCAGAGACGCTCCACGGGATAACTCATATCACTGGCAAATATTCGTCCTTCGGCACCGTGAGACATAACGACCAGCACAAAGCAATCGTTTTCGCTGTGATCTTCTTTGGCGACTGGAAATTGAAATTTTAATATTCTTTTTGGTTAGTAGATACTCAAAAATTATTATTGTGCGGTATTTCTGTTGACAAGTATGTAATTGGAGGATGGACCCAAGTGAGAAGTGCCCAGAAACGATTCTATTAGCAGGAACAGTGAAAAACGTAGAATCGTGGGTCGTGTCAGCTGATACGATCTATCTTATGGGCGCGCAATGTAMGTGCACAGTGAAAACGCTACTCCCTTCTCTCTTTGACGTAGAATGACGTGGGAATCTACAGCATTTTGGTTTTTGCCGTGGAAACGTGTCAGCTGATTGCTCTCTCACAACCCAGGGTTGCCAATATGTATATACTGTAGTAATTATCATCTGTTATAATTCAATCTGTTCAATATGTTTGAAATTTTCTAAAAATAACTCAAAATCAGAGTCGAATGCTATTATTTATAAATATATAAACTATTTTTAATAGTTTGTTTTCAGTTTTGATATTTTATATTATAAAAAATTGTAATTGAAAACATGGATGTGTACAAAACTACATATGGGTATTGAGCAATGGCAACATTCTGCAAATGAAAAAAAAAACAAAGATGGCTGAATTTTGCGTTTTTGCCACGTTCTTCACTGGGCACACATTTTGCCGATGAGGAAGGAAAGGGAAGGAAGGCAATAGCGTTTTTGACTGTTCCTGCTATCACACATTTTGCCGATGAGGAACTGGCTCTGCTATATAACATATGCTTCCGGTTTTAGATCAAGTATCCTCTGTGGATAGGTAGAAGATAACATCTGATGAGTCAATGTTACGAGTTTTCGAGGGAAAGTTTCTGCGGAAGATATATGGTCCTTTGCGCATTGGCAGCGGTGAATAACACAGCAGTTMAGCGAGTTAAGAGACAATGGCTACGCTGGCTAGGTCATGTCGTCTGTATGGATGGGAACACTCCAGCTYTGAAAGCATTCGACGCAGAGCAGAGGAAGAGGAAGGCCTCCACTCTGTTGGAAAGACCAGGTGGTTAAGGACCTGGCTCCATTTGGAATCTCCACTGGCTGTTACGAAACTAGACTTTCTCTAGCGGTACYTGTCAATATTGTGGTCACTCGAAACCTTATGACCAGATGATTTGATTCAAATCTACTAACAATGCTCTAACCGTGAAAATATGAGAACAATGTCATAAACATAAAATTGAGCGGAGAGCACGATTAATATATTAGACGTAGAGATTAATACACATGTTACAATATTTGACTGTTAACATTTAAAACGCAGATACCTTAGAATATTTTCCAACATCAGAAGTTGCATGTTTTTACATTTAAATATTTTTAAGTTCAATAACGTAATTTCACGAATAATCATTAAAAATTGTTCCGAATTGTTATCAGTAAAACATATACTAGATGCATGCCCCCAATTTACGAATACAAGGCGAAGGATGTTTRGCACAGCTCTCCCATCGAAACTGCTAACTAATATAACATCGTCGAATATAAGTACTATATCTAACTTTCTTATAACATGTAACATAGCACATTTAATCTAAGATAAACTCTACAATTTATATATTAATGATAATATTTATGTATATCTGTTATTTAGACATAACATCCAGTTATTACTATCATATTAAATTGTAAAGACCAGCTGATGGCCTCGAGCTAGTGCTGCTAATTTTGCTATTTTCTGTATATTTATATGCTTAAAATAAATATGAATCTGAATCTGAATCTGCTCCGAATTGTTAATATTATATTTAAGTTTGAAAACAGTTTGGACACCTTTGTTCCAGATAAGATATCTATTATAATAATTTCGCCAATTTGATAAGAAAATTGCAAAATAATCCGAGTTTTTCCCACTGCACTAAAATCCACATACAAAGAAGTATGTTCTTGGTTTTATTGAGGCAGGTGAATATGTAAAATTACTCATATGTGCCCTCTTATCTTTAAAAATATATTTATTCATTTACGATGTGATAAGGTCCCCACAGACTTTTTTCAATACGGTATTGGCGAGCGGGATGGCGAATTACAGCCACACTAATTAATTACTGTTTATTAACACTTTTATAGATTTTCCATTATTTCCAGGTTTCTTAAAAACAATTATTTCCTTTGTTCATACTTACTAGCTTTTAACTGCGCATCCACTTTCTCGAACGTCAAGTCATTAAAGACACGTACGTCGAACCCGTACAGTGATAGGGTCTCAGCGATCGTGTCGCGATCCTTTTCCGTGCCCACACGATCCTTCTGACCCTTCACATATTTATGGTTGAATATGACAGCAACGCCCACATAAGGATTCGTATTTCTATAGAATTCTTCGTCAGTGGGTCGTGATTGGATTATTTGACTCGTTGGTGGGGTGACGTCACGAGTTTGTGCAGTCACTTTAGCGGCGTCGGCCTTGTCATGTTTAGCTTTAGATTTCTTGCCGGAGAAAAGATCAAAATCAGTCTCATCAGACATGTTGTCGTCGTCGTCTTCACTTCTGCGGGTCGTTTTATATGGATTACAGTTACCTATTTTGATATTGCYGCACTAAATACCACGTTTAACCGACTCGCACTGAGTTTAGAGTGTGGGCAATGGAGTTTCGTTGCGAACTGCCGRACTAAATTCGGTTGAAATATTTGCAATTGGATGAACGCGTTTTTATCTTATCAGAATAATTGTTATCGGTGGCGCAGTTAGATAGAGAGTAGTTTGAAAATCATTAGTAGACGTTTACTCTCTCACAMGTATTTAAGAGAGATGGGGACAGAGAAGAGAGAATATAAAGGGAAAACAGTCTCAAACAAAATGCGGCTGGATTTGTCCTAAAGAGATGTCTATAAAAAAAGTTTACCACTTCTCTTGATGTATACATATTTATTTATTACTCAAAAACTTATAATTAGAAAAACATATGAAGTCTTAACAGAAATACAAAGCACAAAACCGTAAATGCCAATAAGAACAGTAAATAATAATACGGATGCTTTCCGCGGGAATGCTTGCGTTTAAATATAATATTGCGGACTCATTGGTAGTGCAGAAAAATCTGTATTCGTATTGAAAATCCGATTCAATTTTTCTTCAAAATCGTTTTTTGGCTCGTTCTCCTCTTCGCCATCGGGAAGAACATCGATCTTAGCGTCGACATTTTTCGGCTTGACTCGCAGGTAGAATGTTTTGGTGAGTGTTGACATGAAATTCGGCATTTCCTTTTTTTCATTAATCAATTCATTGTCGCTGTAGGATTGATACTCGTACGCCACTTTGCGATTAACGGCGGTGAGTAGTCGCATCAATTCGACTCCAACGGTTTGTGCTTCCTTGCTCTCGGCTGCCTCATTCAAAATACTGCAGAGGCTTTGTATGAACCAGGAGCCACTTACGCTATTCCGAAACGAGTAGTAATCTGCAGAAAAAATACAGACATTAAAGAGTAGGCACCAGTCCTTGAAGAGGTAGTTACTTATTACAGAGAGAGAGAGTAATAGAAATAAGTAGAGTATACGCGCGATAGGCTTATAAGGTCTTAACAATGGATTTTATATACGGTTTGGTGATTTACCTTCAAATGTGGAGTACATAACCAGAATATCAGCTGTTGTTGGTATGGCATACATCGTTCGGTCCACCGCTGCGGAGCTTGGGAATACTGTTGCCTGAAAATAGGCACGTGAAGCTATCAACACTGGCTGCTCTATGCGTGTCCCGCGACATGCCTTAAATAAAAACGGTTAAAATACGTCTCACATTAAAATGTATAAACTTTTAGTGTATACCCCACAGTTTATTACCTGGATAAAAAATAATTTCGGTTTACCCAGTAAAGTGGGGCATTTGTCACCGAGCAGGGGCTCCCACAACTCTTCAGTTGAATAAAAATCATCGGCGGCGCATATTCTGCCTTTATCACCATGTGACATCACGACCACAACGAAGCAATCATATTGACTGTGATCCTCAGCAGCCACTGCACAAGAGAAATGGAAAAAATGAAGAATATGCTCATCAATTTTAAGGCATCAGGCACTCACCTGAATTCAAAAGCGTTGATATTTTCTTCTTTTTCAAATCATTATAAACGCGCACTTGAAAACCATAATTTTCCAAAGAAGCCGTAATATCCTTGCAATCTTTCTCGGCACCGTTACGTGGCCTTTGACCCTTGATATTCTTGTGGTTGAGCACTATGGCAAGTCCGATGTRTGGATTATCTGTTCTGTAATCGACCTCTGTTGTTGGTCGTGAAATTATTTTATCGTTTTGTGAAGCTTTGGAGTTTTTTGGCTCGACTTCTAGTTTTTGGGAAGGTTTGCTTTTGTCCTTCTTCTTACTGCCGAAAAACGAGATGTCCCATTCGTCCATTTTGTGTGGTAGTCTGTTTGGTAGGATGGATCTGAAAGCAGATAGTCGTTCATACATGAAATTCAGCATAGATAAATCTTAAGAACTTATATAATACTTATAAGACTGACAGCTTTCTGTCAATGCTGACAGTCATAATGTCGATGTCGTAGATAATTTCGTCTATCGTGGAACCAGAACAACGTCAGCCTCGAAATCCCACGCACAAAAAAAAAAAAAAAAATCTTGCCAACAGGTGCTTCGAACTTAGTCGGCAGTTGAGAAGTAAAGTCCTTTCTCGGCGTACAAACACCCAACTCAATAAGTTTCTCGTTATTTCCGTCCTGCTATATGGTGCAGAGGCATGGACGATGACATCTGATGAGTCGACGTTACGAGTTTTCGAGAGAAAGGTTCTGCGGAAGATTTATGGTCCTTTGCGTATTGGCAACGGCGAATACCGTAGTCGATGGAACGATTCACTGTACGAGATATATGACGACATTGACATAGAACAGGGAATTAAGATACCTGGCWAGGTAATGTTGTCGGAATGAACTAAAACACTCCAGCCCTGACAGTATTGAACGCAATACAAGCCGGGGGAAGCATAGAAAGAGGAAGACCTTGATTCCATTGGAAAGACCAGTTGGAGAAGGGCCTGGCTATTGACACAAAAAGCGACAAGGATAATCGACCGGGACGCCGTTGTAAACTCGAGCATAACTGCGTAAGCATTGTCTGCGCCAATAAAGAAGAAGAGGAAGGGATTCCAAATTTTCATAACCGCTTATATTTGATCAAATCTCTAGTCTGATCCCCAATTCCTATCAAGTTAAAATCAAAAAAAAAAAAAATATATATATAGCGCATATTTTTGGCCAAACTAAAGTATCCTTACCCTTGACAAACTCTCATTTTCATTTACAAATCTTCCCGTTTTACTTTCATTCATATATGCACCATAACTGACTGACGGGCCTTAGAAGTGCATATTAACACTTTCACCATCAATGAGTTATTCGCGKTTATTATTATAAATCCCAACGCCAATTTCGCCACCATTATTAGCTGTCTAACGCCTGGTGACTAAAGTATATCCCGCCCCAAAGCGGAAGCACCCAGCGTATTCACACAGGGGTTGAAATGCCTTTAAAATTTTGAGCCATGCGGGTTGTTGYTGTTTGCGAATGTACTATAGTGCGGGCGGAAGTGGGTGGAAATGTTCGGAAATTGTAAAAATTCAACGTAGACATTTTGAGGAAATGCGCAGAAATTACACATTGCCAATAAAAATCTAATTAGCTGATAAAGCGGTAAATAACTGTGACTTCTGACAACCACAATTTGACAAGTAACTGTTTGTCACCACTTGATGAGTATGCAAAGAGTGAGTGCGTGTGTGTGAGAGCACGTGAGCGTAGAGAAGAGCGGTGTGCGCACGACGGAAACCGGAAATGATGACGGGAGGAAGACATGGCACTTCGGCGCGCAAATCATAAGGAAAGCGAACTTCTGYATTGTGCAATAACGCAAGAAGCCAGCAAGCGGTGGACGATTTTTTAGGGAAGTTTCAGGCGGCATAAGGCAGTGTGATATTCGCCAGAAAGTGAGAAAGCCTTGAAATTTTAAAATAATCAAGTCTATAACGCATATTTATACTGAGAAATTGGCGTAGACACTGCTTACGCGATTATAGCCGAGTTTAAAATAGCACGCCAGCCATTCTTCCTTTTCTCTGCTTGGCGGCAATTGGAGATTCAGAGTCTCCACTAGGCCTTTCCAATGGAGTGGAGGTAATTTTKTTTTCTCTGCTTCCCCCTGCGGATACTTCGCCGAATACTCTCAGAGTTGGAGTGTTTTCGTCCATTCGGCAAAGGACCAAAAATCTTCCGCACAACCTTTCTCTCGAAAATTTGCACCATATAGCAGGACGGGACSGGACAGGRCGGGRATAATGAGGGACTTAGGGTTTTACTTCTCAATTGCCTACTTAGTCCGAAGTAGCACCTGTTCGTGTTCGCAAGAGCWGTACGMTCTTATAAAAYATTGTAACTTCTCTATTCAGCTCGACAGCTGAATTCAGTCTTGTTAAAAGATATATAACCTTTTATAGAGCACTCTGTATAGAGAATCTCAGATTTTGCAATTGATGCTTCGAGAAATCGATAATATTTAATAATAATACGTAGATAGCCTTAAAAATTTTCATTACCCCTTCGGTTAGGGATAAATAAAGAAGGACCGCTTTTAAAGTGTTCGAAATCTCGTGGAAAGTAGCTTGGCTACACTAGTCATTTTTCACCTGTCATTGTACGTATGTCTTCTAAATGGTTGAATGAATATTAATATTTTCAATAATGTAATTTCATTTGCTTGAAAACAGTTATGTGTAAGATTCACAATTCATAAAATTTAAATTTCGCTCAAAGTTCACATAAGTGAGTGTGTACTGTACTTTCGCGAGCTAAGCAATTGAATCCAGCTAGAAGTAAGTTCGCACAACATGATGCCCACATTGACTGCACACAGCACTGTTTGTTGATTACGCTCTCTCGCGCTCGCAACCAACGAGCAGCCATCGGAAGTCGCACGAACGYCACCGCTACCGACTGTKTCGSACTCAACGGCCAGGCAAACGCAACATAAGCATTCAGTCGAAGAATTAAAGTGGTTTAAAACACGTCTGTGTCGACGGTTACGGACGCAACGCAGAAAAGTCCACAATATTCGAATGAAGTGCAGCAGACGCGCTAAGCTGTATGCAACAACAAAGTGTGAGCACGTTGTTAATAAATAAAATTGTTAGCAATAAAAATAGATAGCCAAATAAAATGAACCATAAAGAAAGYAAATCAATCTATACAAAATATTTGCACACAGATGCGGTGCTACAGTGAGTGTAAAAATTCCGGTGTGTCGAAGAAAGTCTAGTGAATTGTGAAGAAATATTGTAAGTGGAGTGTCAGCAGCAAATAAAGGAGCAAGTTTAAATTCTTAAAAGTTAAAGTGAGTGAAATTATACAAGGCAATAACGTGCCAACAACAACAATAACAACAACACTATCGCAAACGACAGAAGTTAGTGAAAACCAAAACATAAAGAACGGCGGATCCAAGGCGGGGTGGATTACAAATCAAATAAAATACACACAATCCGATTCGAGCGGAAGAGGCGGAAAATAAAAATAATAACAACCGCCGTGCGCGCAACTGAATTGTCAAGTAAGAACAACGGTAACTACACAATAATAACAACAAGTAGTAAAAGCAATTCGAGCAGATGGCTGGCAAAAAGAAGAAATCAATCGTGGGTGTAGGTGTGAGTGAGTGTGTGCGTGCCAGTGGTGTGGGAGGGTGTAGCGCGAATCGGGCGAATGTATGCTAAAGGGAATGAGCGAACAAGCTATTATAAACACAACAACGGAATAACGCGCGATAAATGAGAGTCCTGCTGGTGAGCGCTTGAGCTTGCAGGCGACAATGGCAGGCGGCCTCCGGTGTGTGCATGTGTGGGCGCCTGCTTGAGAGTGGGTGCGGGAGTGTGCTAGTGTGTCTRGGACATTTKTTGGATAAAGTGCAGTGGGTTTAAGTGCCAGCGTCAGAGCGTCACTGYGGCTGAAACGTGTGCCAATTAACGCCGAATCAAAATTTCAAAAATTTGCAAGTAAAATTCAGTAGCATGCTCTGCGACAAAGAAGCACGGTGATTTTATAATGAAATTAGATTTTATTTAGCAGGCATAGTATATCAACATTGCAGTGTGCTTGTTAATGAATATATGCATTTTGTAAATAATTTTGGCAGTGAACTGAGTCTTATGAAAAAAWATWAAAAATTKAATTGAATTGTTTTTCTAAAAAATCATTATAACTTAAGCACTTTTTTGAAACAAATTTGTGGTAATATTTGATTTCCCAATAAAATTAAGTCATGTGTTGTGCAATAGCTTGGCGCTGAATTGATAATTTAACACTGCTTGCTTATAGGTAAAGAGGACTGTCCATAAGCATTTTTTAATCAGTTTAGTTATATTTTTTTTTATTGTTCGAGAGTTCTCAGCAAGGCCTTAGAAGTTTTAGTTAAAACGTTTCATATAAAGTATTTCAATCAAAAACATGTTTTCAAGTCTGTAGGCTGATTTAATATGTGTCTATAAAATGGGTTTTATTTTTCAATACTAAAAATAGCGGCACTCACTTCTGCTCTTCATAGAATGCGAATGCCGTTGATATGATTGACATAGATCCCGATATGAAAGTAAGAAAGTTTTTCATATACACATGTGTATGTGATAAGTTATACACTAAAATTAATCAATATTGTAGAAAGTGATCAAATGACTCCATGCTTAGCACCCGCCAATACACTGTTAGGCAATTTTTCGTTCCAAAGCACGAAGCCCTTAGACTATTTACACCCTTAAGAGCAAAACTTTCCATATTTTTTTGTGCAAGTCTCTATAAATTTTAAAATATAATAGAAGCTTTAGTACATCCCCAAAGATAACGTTATTTTTACGGACGATATGTACGATACGTATCGGTTGCTAAAGATACCAACAAGCAGGACTTTCGGCACAGTACGCATTCATACTAAACCCTGAACACCGTCGTTATTGCTTGTATTCGGCAAACGGGACTGGCGTTAGGTATTATGTCGTGGGGTCAAGTTTAGCTATTTGGCTCTTCAGTTACGCATTTTCGCCCTAAGTGCTGTTAATCCTTCTGTTTTTGCTACGTTGCTACTCTTTCCTCCTTTTGCAGTTACAGCTGCCCACGCTCTCACTCTGTCCCAGACCATGTTAGATTGAAGCATGTAATAAACGTTATTCTACGGCGTCCTTCGATCGTTTGTCAGGAACCGGTGAAGGGTATTTTTTTTTTCTTGATTCTTTTATTTGTTTTTATTGGATTCACAAATACTTCCATTTTTGGATTGAAAATATTTGAAACAATCATAAAAGTGCAAGTCTTAGATCGACTCCAAAAGCTGGAAAATGACGAAATGAAAATGACGAATATGAATAGTATATTTAACAGTACAAAAAATAACTAAACCGTGGCCTCAGTTATGTGCTCGCACAATTGAAAGATACGGCATATCTAMATTTCCTTCTTTTTATACTCGCATTTGATAGTAGTCAAACAAGTCCGAGCTTGCGAAAGCATGAGCTTTTGAGTAATTTATGTGTCCTGCTGGGCTAAAAGGAATTAAATTACTTATTTGTAGTTATGGGCGTGTGGCCACACGCGCCTGAGCAACTATTGCAATTTTATTGCACTTGCTTTTATTATTCATGAAAAATTAATTTCTGAGCAAATACGCTTGCAAAAGCTTTTATGAGCATACAAACACCCACGCCAAYAYATACGCTTTTTTGCGTGTGCGCCAATTGGTTGTACAATTAATAGCCAAGAATTGATATGCTTAGACTCGAAGCCTTGGAGTCGTAAACTGGGCGCACGAAAATCATCCAAGTACGGCTCGGGCAATGCAATTCTCGACTAACGCCTGACTGCTGCTGACTGGCTGACGAACGGACTGTGTGAYGAAGTCACTCACTACTGCAGCTGCATGGTCGGTCGGTCGTCAAGCTTTGACTGGTGGCACACCACAGCACTTCATAGCAGCGTGCTACAACAATAAAAACGCCTAAAACCACTGCCCTACTTCCACCCCCAAACACGCACCAAGCAACACATGCAGGCTGAGCAACCCACATTTCACGCTTATCCTGCTTGCGAAGCACTTGGAGCGCGCACTGCCGTCGGCTAGAGCGTGGCGGACTACGTAGTACTTGAAGGCACTTTAACCACTATCAAAGTGGCAGTCGCTCGAGTATCGTCAAGTGGCCCGGAATGGAGTAAGGAAGGCATTGACGCTCTGGCGTCATTGTCGCCTGTGAAGCGGTGGCTGCTGCTGATGTCTGTCTGCCCAGTCGATGAGCRGGCAACCATTGACATACTTACCACAACACACTATCGACAATGGGTGGCAGGCAGCTGCAAATTCTGGCTGGCAATTTCTGCAGCTTGCAAATAAATACGAGTACAATAAAAACACAATCTCACCGGAAAGTGATTGCAGACTGCCAAGTGAATAGTTTAAACCATTGGACTCGGCAACTTGCCTTTTCGCTTCAAAACTATCCGGAATTATATTGTAGTGCCTCCATTCATCCACTCAGCGGCTTTAGGTCTGTGGGTGGGATGGGGAGTGAGTAAATATTTGAATTTGGATTGATTAGAGGTTGTAGCATTTAATGGGTTCCGGGCGTCCGCCACATAAYAAGTACATRACTGTAAAAATGTGTATTAGTGTTGYTGTTGCTAGTGTGGCTGCAATGTTTCTTTTCAACTTGACCACGTACTAGCAGTTGGCGCAGTACTCCGCAGCTTTCAGCTTGGATGGTTACTGATAAGGGGCAAAGGTATTCAAATGCAATTTCTATACTATTCGTAGACAGATATTTGCAGTTAGCTTTCGGTATGTTCGATGGTATCCGATTAAGGGAGAAAACTTCTGTCTCAGTAAGATTTTGGTTCAAATGGAAAAACTACTCGTAGACTTGATTATGTCGGGGTGTTAGTAGATTTAAGAGTCTGTATAGATTGGTATCTGTAATAACTTCAAAGTGCTAACAGAATATATGTTCATTTCGTACATGTTGTYTTGTCGAAATCGTTAAAAATCCAATGTGGAGGTAATCTCATCCCAGTGTATGAAGCACTTAAGTGGCGAAATAGCATTGGCTTTTTTCTCAAGAGACAGCACTACGAAAATAGTAAATTTCATTAAGAAGTTTAAGGCTATCCTCGAGGTATTGCTTAGGGATTGTACAATAAACTGGTAAACCGATGGCTCGAAAACGTCGGAGGAAATTGGTACAGGAGTCACATGACCACGCACCATACACACCATACATATGGGAAGTTTTCCGGTCATATTCCAAGCAGAGGTTTCTACTATAAGTCGATGCGTAGGGATAAACCTCCAATACAACTATCGCACAGTCATGTGGCATTTAAAGCAATTTCTGCGTATGAGATYAAATCGCTATTGKAGCAGGAGTGTATAGAACGGCTGAACAGTCTGCCAGATCGTAAGCGCGTGCACGTTATCTGGGTGCCMRGYCACAAAAGTATAGCCGASGATAAACTGGCCGATGAGCTCGCCCGCTCCGCAGCATCCCCCAACATGAACCTTTYATTTCGGTTGGAGCCATAAAGAAGCTGGTCGACAGGAATGAAGGAGTGGTGGCAATTGGCAACAACTCCAATTGTTTAATGGTTGGTTACAATTTAAGCAGGTTTACATATGTAWCCAACCTCCCAAGGGACGAACTCCGGCTACTTTTCGCTTTCTACACTGGCTATTGTAARCTCAAGAAGCACTTATATAACATGGACATAGCTTCCGGTGCAAATTGTCGGTTCTGCGGCATAGAGCCTGAAACTTCAGAACACCTACTAATTGACTGTTCAGCAGTCTGTAGACGCAGGGTGACCACCCTTGAATCTATGTTTCCTGATAGGGATCACATCGCCGCAATAGCACAAGGCAGTATATTGGAATTTATCAATATGCTGGGRCTAAGTGAGTCGTTGTGACGTAGGAGAGGGCGCAATTGACCTTAGGTCGCGATGCAATCCTCATTTATTTATCTATCTATCTTAGGACATCATTACTAACTCCTTAAAAATACCATGCAGAAATGAACTTGCTTCCTAATAATCAGATCTACGAAGAAATTCCTAAAGCGATTTTGATACGAAGAGAGAATATGAGAAAAAAAAAAGAAAAAAACTGGCGGCCTCCTCAATTCATTCCTAAAACTGAACTTTTAATATTTGCGAAATCTTATCTAGAAACCTCCAACTAGCTCCTAGATATTCCTYAAATAGTTTATGCTACTTGTCGTAAAACTCGTCTATAAAATCTTCGGTCTTTAATATAATTAATTGAAYAGCTGCGAAGAGAATCAGTGCTGTAAGGTCTCAAAGAAAAAYTCTACAACAAATATAAACACAACAATTCGAGGCAACTGATTGTGTGTAATTGAGCAAAAGACGCGTTGAAGCATTACATATTTGACTTTGCACCAAACTCAYGCCCGTTATGGCGTTATGATAGAAGTTACAGCAACACAACGCACAGCGACTAACAACTGGCCGCCGCAATGAATGAAATGAAACGCACAATGAAGTGGCATAAAGTACTCA